TGTTGAATAACATTTGATCAATAAAATGGTAGGAATCTTTCTAAAATGACGAAGCAGTATGTACATGGCAGTACTCATCGTAACCTGTCTTTAAACAACTACAGAATGTGATATCGAAGGCTGGACGTGAAATATAATCGAACGATTAAACGAACTTACCTAAGTGAAGTTCAATCGTGATTATATGAAGCGTCCAGCCTGAAGATATCACCTCCCACCATCCCCTGAGCAAATATGAATACCCCATACATAGGTTACGATGACAGAACTTTAAAACAATGAGAAATGGGAGTATCCTAGGGATGGAGAACAGGAGAAAGGGAGAGCGGGAATCTTTAAATATTGTGCGTAGCAGTATCGACAGGGCGTACTACAGAATGTGATATCTTCAGGCTGGACGCTTCATATAATCACGATTGAACTTCACTTAGGTGAGTTCGTTTAATCGTTCGATTATAGGAAAAATAATAGTCGACTATTTGTCAACGTCTCGGGATGTTACCTACGAATATCACTGAGGGAATCGGCGATACCACGGCAACTCAGTCAAGTTTTTGAAGGAGGATTAAACTATTATATTCGCTGTCACTTGATCTGTCATCACAGATGACTTGTTTTGGGTTCGATAATATCATTTTGCTTTTGCATCTCAGAAATATTAAGAGAACTAATAGAACATAAATGTCCTGAATTATACAGGAATGCCTATTTCGAGTTACCTACCTATACGCCGGGTGGTAAAGTGCCACTTTACGCCAGCAGAATCGGGCCGTATAATGCTACTTTGGGCCTGGTCGGGCATACAATATTATTATGCGTTGAATATTATTTCACAACGAAAGTATACTCACTCAAAATTGACTAGTCACATATTCATAATTTCACTATGATCATTGTCATTAGCATTCTAATAGTGATGATAAATTGTATATATATGCTGTTCTATCAACAGATCACAAAGCACTGTTCACATCAATCACAACACCGATTCACAACTACTGATTGATGTGTAGTCAAAAGTCAACGGTTTATTAATCTGGAAATCTTCACCAGTTACGTTGTGGACTACTACATTCAAAATGTGTGTATTTTTATTTTTACAACTTGGAGATTGGGATACGACGAGGCGAAGTCAAATCGGAATCGCTTGGGATTGACAAAAATAAACTGAATGAAGGGTAATCTATTGCGAATTTCAGTTGTTTTTCGCTCAACGCATCCTCAACATAGGTAGGACAAACAACATTCTTTTCGTCAATTGTATTTCAGAATAGCCATATGTATTTCAAGAAGCGTCAATTTTATTTCAGAATATAGTCAATTCAAATATAAAAACTTCACAAACGATAAGATTTCCACAAAATTCTCAAACACACGACATGTTTCGCTAATACAGTAGCTTCATCAGGTGATATACTGGTACAATGAACTAAACTAACCTCGAAGTGAATAAAGTGGAAATCCAAACATTATTTATAATGTTAAGTTTATATGTATATTACCAACTTTAATATATTCTAGTCTCCAAACCTCAAGGATTAGTTACCTGTGGACAGGTTCGATAAGCCTTCATTTTCGGAAATCAGGCACAATATCTTCATCAAAATACGGTGTACCCCTAATTTGGGGACTCCCTGTGTATAGTGTGTATCTCTGTGTTGTATATGTTACGGGCAACTTGATTATTCTAGGCATTATTCATAATGCCCGAGCAGTCCATAAAGTGCCCAACACCATCGGGAAATTTAATAATTTTGTATTTGTCTACGATAATTTATTACATTGCACGGTCATTATATATACTGCTACTATTTTCTGGGCAAGCAATTTGGCAACGTGCGTATGGTGTGATTCTCGCTGGCCAATCAGCATTCATTTTTGATTCATTTACGCCGAGTAAGGTTAGTTGGTTTGAAAAAAGTAGTGTCCTTTTTTATGCAGGATGCATATTTTCCTTCCTCCCAGAAACAAGTTATTTCCTTTTTAGGAAAAAGGTTGTTTATTTTGATGGTTTAAACAATGTAGTCTTCTTTTTTACGCAGGAGGGCTATTTTCCTTCCTCCCTGGAAAAAAACTGTAAACTGTAACTGTAAATAAAAATATTTTCAATTTGCCCACTCGACGTCCAACATTATTCATAATGTCCGGACAATGTGATGTTTTCTATATAAGTTATCCTTTTGTCCAACGCCTTCGGACATTTCGAAAATTGCCTGGGCATTATGAATAATGCCCAATTATTTACATTGCCCGTATACATATACACTCTTACACTCAATACATAACGTGTAAACATGTTTTGAAAAATTATACCATCGTTGACAAATAATGAACTTACTATGACCTGATGAAACAGCGTTAGGAATATTATTTTCAGAGCATAGAAATGGAAATTTCAGTGATCACATCTTTATACTGGAATCTTGTTACGTAAGTTATGAATCATTTCTCAGGACAAAGTCTTCTTAATTTCTTATACAAAAATAAACACGAAGTAAGAAGCAATGGCCACTCTGAGGCAGTAATAATTCATACAATCTATTTCGGTATTTTAGACAAAAGCGTCATAGCAACTGCCGCATTCATATAGAAATACATTATTATTATCTCTATTAATAAAATCGTCGTCGTTCTGCTCTATAACTAATCGATTTTTGAAACTGTCTCATCTTTATTTCTGACACTAGCGGATTCACCAAGCATATATAGGGCCCGGAGCAGGGTCTCCGCATTGCATCCTATATACACTATACAAAATAGTGTGTTTCTACTCACATATTGAGTAATGTGACATTTTATAGCGAACAGATATATACCACGTAAATGATCGATTGATACCACAATCTGTGATTAATTCAAAATATAACACACATTACTATGGCAACACAGTTTTCTGAACACATTACTATTGGTTACTGTTTGATTTCAATGGTTTAATAAGTCATGAAAACCCAAAGACTAGTCATTCGTATGTCAATTTTGACATCAGTGATAAGATGAGAGAAATCAACTTCAAGAATGACTTTATAGAAAAAGTATGGTAGGTACCTCGTTCATTGAACACGAGCGGAGCATAGCGTAACGGAGCAAATACCTACTCGTTACTATGAAAGGACGTTTATAACACTTGATACACAATAATATGCTATTTTAGTTATACACATATGAAAGAAAAATTTAGAAAAGTGACGAATATAACTCCTCTAAGCTCTAATTTTCAACTCGTACGGCAAATGTTTCTTGCTATTTTGTCTTGCCTATGGTGTTTTATGCTGAGGGTTAGTTATGTGAATTTTGAGCATTTTTCAAAATATGAAATGAATTACTCATTTTGACAAACCTCAATGTAGAACAACGATTTATATATCAAACTTTAAAAATTAATTATTAAAATCAATTTAGGAGTGAAAATGTAAGTCTTGGGATTTTTATATCTTAGGTTTATATAAATATAGCTATTAATACATACCTATTCGATATTTCGTGTTGGATAGCAAGTATTTTTGATTATTTTGTCTAAATATCATACAATTCCCTATCAATTGAATGAATCATATTGATGAATTATAGATCTTGAACTCGGACAATTAATATTTGTTGAATAAAGAGTAAAAAGATATTTGAAAATATAAAAACATCGAACGATAATGAAAATTATTGAAATTATTTCTACAGGTACATAATTAATGAGTGTAATGCTAGGTATCTATAAATATATTGATATGAAATTCTAGTTTAAGGAACGAAATGACAACAAACTCAGGCATTTTCTTCACAGATCAACTCGAGATAACTGAAGAGCAATTTACTATTCATTTTCCTATTGAGATCAACTGGAGATAAGTGAAGAGAAGTTGACCAGAGATTATACACAATGTATAATCTCTGACTATACCGATATTTGATTTTGATAAGCATGGATTTCTATGAATATAGACAGATATGTAAACTACATAATATCTTAATTCACTAATTAGTAAATATCATCGAACAAAAATTGAGAAACCCATCTGATGATTGATCGGACAATCTCTTCTAGTCTTTGTTCATGTATGTTATATTCGGACCATCCCAAATTCAAATAATCCTATCGAACACAAATCATGGAATGTCGTAGGAGATCATCCTACAAAACTATTTCGGAAATCTCCCTTTATCTCTCCCTCCCAGGAACTTCAGAATACTAATAGAGTCAGCATCTAGTCAATGAAAGAAGGTTCGATTTCCTTCACCAGCTCGGATATTACCTCCCTGTAGACGATGTGATCCATGTTGGTCACATGCATGAGCAAAATCCACCAGTCTCCAAGCTCCACCTTACCACACAGAGACCTGCTCACTTCAATGAGAATGCTTCTATACTTGGCGTGCAGTATCCTCGGACAAGCTTTACTTGATAATAATTCTAGAGACCACCAAGATGGTGAGTATGGTGGCCAGGATCATGAACCAGAACCAGATGAAGATGCAGGTCTTGTTGATGATGTTGAGAGGGAGGATGCAATGCACTTGCTGTCGTATTCTTTTGACGAATTATAGACTATAAATTCGGAAAATTGGTATCGAGGTAGGTACCAATTTTTTGAATAAAAACATTCTAAAATATAAAAACATCAACAGATAGGGACCTAATGGAAATTATTAAAGGAAATATTTCTACATAAGTACATACATAATTGATTGTTATGCTAAGGTATTCCTATGTTGAAATAAAATCCTAGTTTAAGGAACAAAATGACTACAAACTCTGACATGCTATTGAGCCGTTTCAGTTTGTTTTGTGAGTGATATAATATAAATCTTTACTTGTGTATCATAGAAAATCTGTGGAAGCTTCATAATCGTTTCTACAGTTTCTTGCACATTCATTCTTCATTTTCTTCTGGAAACCAACTGGCAATAAGTGAAGAGAAGTTGACTTCACCGATATTCAATTTTAATAAGTATGGATTTCCATAAAAACGCATCTGTATTTCAAATAATTTTTAATCGTACCTTTTCTCGTTCATCAAAAATATGTATATAGTAAAAACGTTATATAAATTTACATATCACCTACCTTATTACTAATGTAGACAAAGACATATATAAAAACTACATAATATCTTAATTGTCACTAAGTTTTAAATATCATCGAGAAAAAAATTAGAAACCCATTCGATAATTGATTGAGCAACCTCTTTGTTCATGTACCTACGTCGTATTCGAATCATCCTATTGAACACAGATCATGGAATGTCGTAGGAGCAGCACTTAGTTTATCAATGTTTTCTCCCTCAATACACTTTTTGAAATAATCTAAACGTCCACTGGAACGGAATGCGAAACATCATCCTATAAAACTATTTCGAAAATCTCCCTCTCTCTCTCCCTCCCAGGAACTAAAGAATACTAATAGATTCAGCATCTAGTCAATGGCTACTGTTAGCAGGTCCAATTTCCTTCACCAGCTCGGATATTACTTCTCTGTAGATGATGTGATCCATGTTGGTCCCTAGCATGAGCAAAACCCACCAGTCTCCAAGCTCGACCTTACCACACAGAGACCTGCACACTTCAATGGGAATGCTTCTATTCTTGGCGTGCAGTATCCTCGAACGAACCCTCGGACAAGCTATGATAACAATTCTGTACACCACCAAGATGGTGAGCATGGTGGCCAGGATCATGAACCAGAACCAGATGAAGATGTAGGTCTTCTCGTTGACGATGTTGAGCGGGAGGATGCACATGCTGTCGTGCTTCTGGATGGTGCCGGAGGCCCCGTACTTGTGGAAGATGCACTTGGTGACCCTGGGGAAGACGTACACCATGGGGTCGATCCTGTCCTCTTGACTTTGCTCGGAGAAGTTCATGACGCGGAGGCCGTAGGATAGAAACTCTCCGTCGAAGAAGCGGTTCATGAGGTAGAGTTGCACTAGGATGTTGAGGAGGCACAGGCATTCGCAGCCCCAATACCGGAGGGCGTAGAAATTGTGTTTCTGGAAACAGATAAAGAAGGTAATTGATTGAGCGGACTGATTTTTCTTAATCTTTGTCAAGAATGTTAGCGCTGATGCATTCGATTCATAAGTGACTTCGACCTAGGCATGTTGGCGAGTCCTCTCAGTAATGAAAGTCTCAAGCTTCCTCCTCCATTCTCTAACTTCCTCTAGAAGAATTTTCTCACTTTAGTTTATTTATACATGTGAAAAGGGTTCGACATTTAAAGAGTTCTTTTATAATCAAAATTATTAGATACTTATTGGTATATATTGGAAAATATTGAAACGACTCAATGACTATATTCTTTCAAATTTTCTTCGAGGGGGGCTAGATCATAATTTGGGAGCTTTAGCTTCTCCTAGCTCCACCACTGATGTACAAGTCGACTTGAATTAGTTTATTATGCAATGAACAATAATTTTATTGAGATATGGTGAAATGTGAATTTATTGAGATGTGAAATGTAATAAATTTAGTGAAGGGAGTAAATAGCATGCCTTAATATAAAGCATTTAGACTTCATGAAAATGTATATTCATCGCATATTATCAATGATAATATGTATGGTAATTTGGTACGTGCCAATGTCATTAAATAAATTATCAATGCAACGAATTCAAACATCAAAATCACGCATTTCTTAATTTGGAATTCGTTCACTGCGAATGGAAAACATTTTTTTATCAGAATGCATTCATGTTCAAGCATGAATGTGAGCATATGATGCATAGCTTCGATGTCAGATCTTGTAATGATATGTATTTGCTTGTAAGTAAGCACCATCTTGCAGATAGAAGTTGAGAAATAGATATAATTACAAGATATTAGGTAGGAATATTACACAATTAAAAAATCAGGCAGTACGCTGTGTGACTTAGGTGCTCTGACCGCTTTGTGTTTTGAATATTTTGAACTAAATATACGAGCCCTGATTCTGTGAGGTTGGGTAGGGTGATTGATATCGACCATACCTATATTAGCTGAATTATGACATCAAAATAATATGAAGATTTGCCAAATATAAACTTAGTGATATGTTGATAATTAACTGATCAAAGAGTACTGAGTAATTCATATATGTAACAAGGTTGAAGATATCGATAAATTAATTAATGATACACAGCCACACATATTTTCTGTGATATGTCAACAGTTTTTAACATATAATTCATAAGATAAACGACTGAAAAGTGGATATAAACATAACAAGTTTCCATTTTGAGCCCCTTGATTGGGTGAAAGTATTGAAAAGGAATATTCTCAGATATAATTATGATCATAAAAAAATGGAGATATTCATGAAGAAATACATTGAGAATTCGCATTCTCCATGTGATGAAAATATCAATTCTTTCTCGATCTATTCAACAGAAAACAACTACTCTCCTGGTTAACCCACGACGAACATTGAACACACACGGTAAGAATTTGAAAACAAAATCTTCTGAAGTAGAGAATTTGCATTCTCCTTCATATGAAGATATAGAAATCAGTTGAATTCAACATAAAAAAGTTCTCTCAACAGATTTGCCACCTTAAAAGACCTCAATTAACAGAATGTCATCAATATCTGTTAGAGCGGGTAACTAGTTATATTCCAAAATAATCAAAAAATATATTACCAACCTATTAACGTTTCACTATCGACCTTTCACTGAGGTAAAATTTGGCCAATCGTCATAATTTGATATCAGGATTCTATACCATTGATCTATGTACAATTCATGTGAATCACCCAGTATTATGGTGGGAACTAATAGAGATTAATTATTCTAGGTAGGTATTACAAATTTGCTTACTAGAACAACAAACCCAAATCTGAATCGGTTCTTAAGTTACATGAGAATTGTTGATATGCCTAATATTGCTTGAATAACAATGGAATATCTGCTGGTTCATTATTCACCCAATTCTATAAATGTAAGGAGGTCGATGATCTGTTACTTCATTATGATGAAAAAGAAATCGACTATTTTACGAAATTCTGAGAACTCCAAATTCATTTCTAATCGTCCGTGTAAAACCGTGGAAACATTTTATTGTTCCATTGTATTCAACAACGTAAATTTAATCATCAACACCGTCCATCCTGTCCTCAATATATCCAAAAAAAAAACCTGTTGATATTCACATGAAAATGACGATGGAAAGTGAAACACTGCTGAAACATGATGCTGAACTACCTAGTACAGGAAACTATTATTATTTGATAAATACTGTCTGTAGGTTTCAAACTATGACATTTTATGATTTGCCAACATGGCCTTATGATCTATGTTGAAGTGTTCGATAAAAAAAGTAGAAAATCGGAGACATTCATCTGAAGAACATAAGTTGCAAATTCCATTGAGGACGAGCGATTGACTATAATAAGCCAGTGACGAAAATGGATTAATCAGCTTATAAACTATCCGCCATAAGGCATAAAGCCTTTTATGAACAAAAGAAACGTTCAATCGTCATCAATTCGTCACGCACGACTATCTAGATTGGAATATAATATTTAAAGAGAGTCATTGTACTGTAGGTACTCTCTATGTCCTTGGGCCAGAGATTTTCTTCACCGAAGAGTGAAGTTTTTTTTTCAAATATTACCGTTACACATTTCAAAATGCTTCAAACAGAGATCTTCAAACATTAATCAAAATACTGTGCCCTTCGTTGTAGTTATTATTACTTATATACAAGGTGTCCCAGAACAAAGTGCCATGGATTCTGCAGAGTGAACTAGAGACCAAAATAGGTCGATTGAAATCAATTTACCTCCATTGGAAAATGCTTCGTTAGGCCGTGAGAGGGCGATGAAGAACAATTTTATTTTTTACATTTTCTTCAATATTTAGAAATCCTTGAGGGTACTGCTCTGAAATGCGTAGGGCAATTTACTATAGTGAATATGCATGGAAAACATATCGTATACCATTTCAATCAATATAGAGAGAGTTAGGTATTTCGCATTCTCTTTGATGGAAACTAATGTGACTTCTGACACTATTTTGATGTTTCAAAGGATGTCAAAAATCATGAATTATCTCACTTTTTCAAACTGCAGTTTTTTATTATTTTCCTTGGTTTTCGAGATGAATAACAAAATTCATTTTGGTGCTTCTCCATAGGACTCGTTTGTATTGAGTTATTGAACGCCATAATCATGTTTACCTATTCGCAAACTCTGCATCATATGATCTGGAAGCTGGTCATTTCCAAGTTTCAAATCAAGATTTCCGGTGAAAAACTTTATTCGAGGAAAAATAAATAAATTTGAAGGTATTCATAAGGTATTCATAAGGTATTCCCCTCAGGGACTTTTATTCGTGGTAGGAGTATATGCAGTTCCTCATGACTCACACCCTGTATGTATCATCAAGAAGAAAAAAAACTAGGGGCTCAAAGTCGGTCGACCACACTTCAAGTGTGTGTGTGAAGTGTGGTCGACCGACTTTGAGCCCCTAGTTTTTTTTTTCTTCTTGAAAATACTGTGGACCACTTTGAGAAAATAGATGATTTTCATGATTTCTGTATGTATCAGTTTGTGAGATTAAAAAAAAACGAAGAGAGTCATTGAAATCAATTTGATATATTCATATTTTAACATAAGGTATGTAATGAATATCGTTCGAAAACATTAATTTGGATTATTTGCATGAAATATGAATCTAATAATATATTCTAATGATGTTGAAACATGCATCCGCAATTACCTTGAGAAATACATTTGTATTTGAATTACATTGAAGATTCTGATGTATGAGTGTTCAACAAATTGTATATGTATACAGATTGTCTTGGGTGTTTCATGGCCAGCGAAAGCCTTTTTTATACAAAGTGGTCAGTAATTGTATTTCGATTAATCTGTTGCTGAAATAGTACATCCAAAAACAACGTGATATATTTTTATAAACTCTTTTATGAAAATCATGAAAAATCAATGTTTGTTTCCCTGTAGCGAATTTAGTGAAAAAAAAACTCGAAATCGTCCCGAGATACAGTCTCAACAGTAACTGATTTTTCATTATAAAAAATTCCTGAGACCAGATAGCATTGCAAAAATTGTCCATATTATATAGTGTATTGGTTCTCCCTTACACCCTGTGTATGTTTTGATGAGCTAATGTTTGAAATTGATAAAACACAAAATTTGGAACCAAAATTCGAGAGTGCATCGTACCATTCCTTCAGAAAATACAGGATGTTAATAAAGGTTCAAATTAGGAGTGGTTTCATGTGTTGAGAAATGTATACCGAATGTTCTGGCAACTTTTTTTTTCTCAAGATTCATTCAAGATTCATGAAAAAACTACGGATATTAGTATAAACATATAGCCATCAAAACGAATGAGGAGGACACTGAGGGTAGTATTTGAAAGTTGAGAATTAATGTAAAACTCCTTTAAATGCTTCTGTTCGTGCTTCAGTAACCGAGATATCCGATGAGCAAAAAATTTGGGACACTCGGTATATGCATGGAGTACCTTACTTGTAGATAAAATCGTATAAATATTTGCACAAGATTTGAATAAACCGCACATCCACTACCTATTCAAATATGGATATTTGAAAAAAAAAATCCCTTTTCTTTGTCGAAGAATCTAGAGAATTTATCACTAGATAACAAATGGAGATGAAATAACAAGTATATAGGAAAATATTGATATACAAGACGTGCAATTTGATTGTATGTACATACGTACCTATATTTACTTTTTAATTATCGTGAGAAAGTTTGTTTTCAGTTTATTCGCGAAATTTGTGCTTTTATTTTCGAGGTTATTTTAAAAATACATCACCGGTACACCGGTGATTTCAATTTTAGCGTTAGCGTCACTTTCATTTCACTTAGATAAGTAGGCGCTAAAAAGGAAGTCAACAAAACATCCGTTTCCATGGAATATTATCTCGATTAGCATTCATAAATAGTTATTTATTATTAAACAACGGAAAAAGTAGAAGATTTTAGCTCGAGGTTTTGTCTCCCTAGCGGAAGCATATTAACCTGAGAATAGGTGTGATCAAATTATATACAAATGGAGAAGTTCATCCAAAATTCTATAATATTTTTCAAAACACTGAAACACGTCACAAAGCCATCTATGATTTATTTTCAAATAAAATATGTAGGCATTTTGAAAGATTATTTCTGTACTCTAACATACCTTAGATATTCTGGAAAAATGAATATTTAGTAAAAATTATCGAATATGTATGGGGTAACTTTGAATTATCTGAATCTGTCCTATGAATTATTACAGTGATATTGCGCCTTAGCCATAATCTTTGGAATTTTCAAGGCAAGAATATCGAAATAAAAATAAGAAATTTCAATGGTTCTTCGACAACAGAATACGTAAAATTCTAGAGATTACTCAAGGAATCGTTTTTGATTAGCAATATACTCAAATCACCACTACATGAATAAAATAACCAAACCCATCGTTGATACTTTAGATATTGAAACCAAATTGTTGTGTATTTTTCATACATCTTTGGGTGTTCTATTTAGACCTAATGGGCCTTTCCCCTCAATTACGCCAATGTATTGTAGTCGAATTATCTATTTACATGTGTTTATGAAAGAGAAAAAGTCCTCAAAGCTGGATGTATCAGCGAATACTTTTTTTTTTTTTTTTTTTTTTTTTTTGTAATTGCATACCTACCTATAGTAGAAAAACGAACTTTGTTTTCGAGTGAGAATTTCAATTTTTCCAATTCCTACTGTAACTTTCCACTTCTCAGAATAAAATGCAAGGGAATTCCATCTCGAAGACGAGAGAGAATCTTTCAATTATACACTGATTGGAATTATCATTTTCTGTGAAATACAGTGAAAAAACATTAGTTACTTGAATATCCGCAAGAGGGAGTATCGCTAATTCATTTTTAAGTCTAACTTATCTGATCTGTTTCGATACTCACGTTAAAAGAGTAGAAATACTTTTGAGATGTTGCTGAACCTTGATGGTGTTCAAAAACTTTTGTAGTTTTTCACTGTTTTTATTTTTCATGGCCTATTGTGAAGAAATTCGTCATGATTGGCAAATGCGTTTCCGATTTTGGAATACATATTGTTGGAGCTCATATGATATATCGAAACACCCTTTTGAGAACTTGTACCACATTTTTCATCGGTGGGTGTGTTTGTATATCATTCACCTACATTGATACTGCATCTAATCATTCTTACCTTCATATGTTCATTCAAGTACCCAAGGATGATTTTTTTCTTTTTCTTCCTTTCTTTTTCATCGCATACTCCAATGTTCAGTCCCATCACAAGGGTCCGCATTAGATTGTTCTCGCACATATCCCACAGTACTTTAGGGGTATAACATGCGATAGCCTAAAACAGTAAAACATGCGTCAAGTAAACAAACCCCTGATTTATAGATTCAAAAACGCAACGCAACACATGTATTTTCAAGACGAAGACAGGGAAAATAGGCGTTGTTTCAATTCAGAATCTATAGAATAACGTTCTATCAAAACTCATGGAGTTGTCCTATATTTTGAGTTTCGTGTAGTAAGGTCTTCCAAAAACTTTGCGTTACGTCGCATTATTGAATCTATAAACCAGGGGTAACAAGAAAAGTTTGAAGTTATGGATATCCTCGTTTCGGGACTTATTAAAGGGTAGTTTTTTTTATAATTTTTCCTCTTCTTCTAACCTGACATGATTTCAGTTACTATAACTAATATTTAAGGAAACCTTTATGCCCCAAACATTTTTTAATCACCCTGTATATCGAATAATTTGAAATGAACCTTAATGCCTCATATAAGTCTCATATCTATATCGATTATAGCTTCTATATCTTCATTTTCCTCACTATTGATTCATCCAGTATAAAATATTTTGATTGTTTTTTATTGGCATGCAGGTTTGTTATCTCAATTCTGACTTCTGATAAAGAACATAAGCAGATAGGTATATATAAATTACCACAACTGATGAATCATATGACAGATTTTTCAATAGTTACAGGGTTTCTATAAATTACTGTAACATCCTATAGTGGCCGTTGGAGCAGGAAGCACCATATTATGGAAAACATATTCATTATATAAAGACCAATACGATGTTACATTTATTTATACAGGGTGTTCCGATGAGGGTCGCCACATTGCTAGGATATGCAAAGCACTGCAAAATAAGTTGAATCTGCACATGAAAACTAATTCGTATTGGAATCCGTATTCAAGATACACTGTGTTGAAAAAACCATGTTTATGTCCATTTTTATATACGATTATAACGAAAATATACTGGCACTATTGTAATGACATTTTGTATGATAACATTTTGGAAGCTGGAAGCAGACTTTCATAGACGACGCTCGTATACCGAGTGATTTCAAACATAACTTTTTTGATGTTAGATTTACTAGTCCAAATTTTATGTGGACTTGAACATCATTCAATTTCATACCAAAATGGTACTCCTGGTAAAACTCGATAATGTGATTATGAAAAAATATTATTTATTGAATATAAATGAAAAAAAAAAACAGTATTCTGTATATATTTAAAAAATATGAGTGTTGTTGTTGAATCTGTTGAGTATTCGAGCTATTCCAAACAGTTAGGTATACATATTTAACCAAAATAGTACAAAATGTTGTTGAAAAGGAATATTCTCAGATAAATTATGAACATAAACAAATTTAAAAAATTGATATACATTTGAAGAAACACATTGAGAATTCGTATTCTCTATATGTGATGAATATAACAATATATTGGTAAGTTATATTTTTATTATTATCATTATATTATTCATCAGATTTGAAATATTGTCAATAATCAATTTCAAAAGATTTCAATTTTTCTTGCTCTCTTTTTGGATGTTCAACAGATATAATTCAATGTTCGTCGTGGCGTATAGCCAGGAAAGTAGTTTTCTCTGTTGAATGAAGAGAAAGAATTTATATATTTATCACATAGAGAATACAAAACTTGATTTTTCGAAAAAGAAAATATATAATAAGGTTCCAGATTGACCTATTTCAGAGTTCCTCTGAGAGTTTTTCCGAAAAGCTCACTGATTTTTATGAAAATAAATAAATGAACATAGTTATCTTCATGGCAGTAATTTTTACGTTGTATGTATATCCTCAAATTGATGGAGATTGCTTAGTTTCAAATTTTTCAGAAATGATTTTCAAATCGTATAGTTTAACTTGATTTGATCATTTAGGTATGATACAGGAAGAGAAAGTATAGTTTTCCATTCAAATTCAAAATTTTTGCATTCTATAGAGAAACGTGATCGTCGAATTCGTCTAATATATCTATATTTATATGTATAATCCATTTTTCAGTTCATTGGGTATCGAGAATACCTGAACAATAGACATTCAAACAAAAACGATATTTGTACATAATATATTGCATCTCATTGTTTCGTTACGCTTTTCCCCAATTTTGGATAAAAATACGAAGGTCGGTATAACGGTGAAATATGGTTTCTTGCTTCAGTGGCTTGTTCTATCACCAAGTTTTTTAGTGAAATCGATCATAATTGGTATTTTGTTATAGCCCCGATTCTGTATTTGTCAATGCCCTCTGTTTTCTTCTAAGTAAACCACCTAACCTTGGTAGTATATATATATATAAGATATATGGTAGGATTTATGTTCTGCATGGTGTGATCTTTCCTCACAATTTGGTTTCCGGGATGTTAGCATTTACTGACTATATGTTCTGCATACGTCAGGCCATTCCAATACAGAAGTTGAATGTTTGAATATCAAGGTTTCAATTAAAATTTCGATTTAATATAGATTAGAATTTCTTTCCGACATAGACTTCCTTCTTCGTCACATATTTGTTTTCCGTATATTAACCAAACTTTCATGGATTATCCAGTTATTATAGTTTCATGTGAAAACCAGATGTCTGTTTGCATAATTCCAACATGACATCACATCGCTAACCATAATCATAACAAAGAATATTCCAACTTCGATATCATGATATATCAATGAGTAATAACCCATATGCATCAAATGAGGGCTAGTATAGCAATTGAAATTATTATAATAACTAAATACCCGGTGTTTCACTGAACCTTTACTAATATAATATCCCATTCATTTCGGAAGATTTCAAGATTTTATATGTTATATTTGAGCAAAATGCAAATGTTCATGTAGATTTTGGTAGATTTGTTCAGTTAATTGTGGACTACCAAATTCAGTATCATCATTCAGCGCTACTGATGGAGCTTGAGATCAATATCAATGTCGAAATTCCCCAAATCTTGAGATATATATTTAGCCTTATAGATGAGGCTGGGGCATTTTCACCCAGTTCTATATATACCCTGTGTTTCAGTGTACCTTTACTAATATAACATCCCATTAATTTCGGAAGATTTCAAGATTTTATGTTATATTTGAGCAAAATAAAAATGTTCAGGTAGATTTCGGTAGATTTGTTCAGGTAATTGTGGACTACTATATTCAGTATCACCAGTCAGCGCTACTGATGGAGCTTGAGATCAATATCAATGTCAAAATTTTACAAATATTGAGATATGAATTTAGCCCTATGAATAAAGCTGAGGCCTTTTCACCCACTTTTATTCTACATCCTGTATTATTGAGGATATCACCACCTTGAAATTACAATACCAATATAGATTCTACTGTTTCTCACTATTTACCAACGTTAGTTTTCGACCTACCTGAAAAAATAAAACAAAGCAGACCCACTGGTAATAGGTGTAATATTTCTGAGCTTCTCCAAAATCGTTTCCTAAACCAGGATGAGGAACCTCTTGACCAACCTAAACAAAAAAACAATGGACATGGTATAATTATCACCAGACAGGAAAGTGTAGAACTACAATAACCTATTATTATTTATTCCGCTTACGACACGAAAGTCGGAAGGTTGTTGTCTTTCAAGAATTCGATGATGTTTCAGATACTTTGATACCTCGTTTGATATCTGTATGTATTTGTGCCTGCTTAAACGTTCAGCCCAAGTTTTCTCCATTGTAATGCAATAATTGAGAATTCCAATTTGGCGGTGACACATTTTTCCGTAATTATCATATTCCAATAAAGTTGAAACCTTGAAGCGAAACTGGTATCAACTTTGGTTTTTCAAATGAAACACCCTGTGTTTTATTCCATGATCGGTTAGTGATTATGATCAAGAATCCAACAATACCATGGCTGATGGGGTTTTCTCAAACGGGTACGAAGATATACAAGAAACCTGACCCCCTTGCTAGAGTAGGTAGAACACTGCGAAATATGTTGGGTTTGCTCAGTAGAAAAATGGACCGGCATCCATTTTCAAGATATAAGGTGTTAAGGAAATGTTTTTTTTACACATTTTTTTACGATTATGCCGAAACTACTGACAACATTGTTATGACATTTTGTGTGGATATTTTTTGAAAGATGACGCTCCAAGAAGGTCCTCTTGGTAATACTCGATATTGTGTTTCGTTTTCGGAATATTTCGATTTGAAAATGATGAAGTGATAACTGTTCCTGGTATAAAGCCTCGAATAACACTATGTATTAGAGTAAGTGTTATGAAAAGCTATCACCTATTTATAGAAAACCGAAAAGAACAATACATTTCAAATGCTAAACTTATTGATTACACAATGAATCACAAGAAAAACATTGAAAGAAATTTGACTAAAAACATGGATTACACCTCGGATTACATAGTTCCGTTGTATCTCAAGCAAACAGTCTATGCTACAGAGATAAATTCACTTCAAGAGTTGCAAAACAGAATTGAACATTACATGTATAATAATGCATTCTTAAGAAAAAAATATATAAACGAGTATTTGTGGAAACGGAGGACATTTCGAACACTTACTCTAACTGATTCAATATTTTATGTTCTCAATCAAATGTTTCTCAGTTATCTACCTGTGATTCATTGTTCAATGAATGAACTTCAGCACAAAAATAATGTTATTGTTTTGAGTCTGAATGAATAGGTAATTGATTTCAATTAATTTTCTTTCATACCATAGCATCAGCTATTACTCCATTATTTTCAAATCAAAATAATGCGAAAACGGTACACAGTATTGAGTTTAATCAATAGTACCTTTTTCATGTTGAATTTAATGATGTTCAAGCAGTGGCGCCGGAACCATGGGGGCAATGGGGGCTCTGGCCCCCATAAAGAATTTGCTATGGTGGCGGAGCCCCCATAGTGAAGTTCTGGTTTCCGAAACTGTTACCATGGTCTCATATCCAAAATGTTTCGTTTAGAACAAATTATGTCTGGGTTTCGCTGGTCTCGGATTATAAATATTTTTATTATCAGGCTGTTAACAGTGTCAGTGACAAAACTACCGGAGTTTGTTACTCAAAGCCGTAGTCGTGTCGCCTAGCCACATGCATGAGAGTGATTTTTCAAGGAATGTTGACTAGAAGTTTCGCTTCTGGCTCGCGTACGCAGCTGAGATGCACGTGCTGTTTTTTTGTTTCTTCTATATTTTACCAAATAGTTTGGACACTATTCTCATTATTTTAAACTTGCTTTACTTAGGTCGTTTTAGATTAGTATTTACTTTTTGTTTTTTTTATGTGAACATAACAGGATTATATGATGTTATAATACACTGGCTTTATTAAACCTAGTTCATTATGGAAAATGCTCGGGAAAATGTATCCATATATATTATTCTTATGTGTTCAATTTTGGAAACCAAGCCCCCATAGTAATTTTGAAGTTCCGGCGCCTATGTGTTCGAGTTCACATCAAATTCGGAATGAAAAATCTAACTTCAAGAAAGTTTTGTTCAAAACTACTCGGTACGAACCGTGTAACTAGCGCCTTCTTTGAGAGTTCAAAAGAAATTCATGCGATGTGGCAGCTTTCAAAACACATCCATACAAAATTGCATTACAGTGCCGGCAGTTTCGACATAATCATAAAAAATGTGTAAAGAAACATATTTTCATCACTTTGTATCTTGAAAACGGAAGCCGTTCCAACCTATTTTGATAGAATTTCTCTAGCAAGGGCCAAGAAATTCCCATTTTTTTCGAAAATTTCCCCAGATGTTTGTTTTTGTTTAAAGGGGTGCCCAAATGAAAAAAAAAGACTATTTCGGTCCATATTTATAATATTTTCCACATTTAATTTGAAAAAAAGCATGAAGAAAAAAAATTCGAGAATGAAAATGCTTCTATGCTTCGAGTTTCGAGACTTCTGTCACTGACACACTTGTTCTATGCTTCTGTGATCTGGTGTTCTGTGCATGGAACATGAAACGACTACGGCTATTTCTCATGTGGGTCGGACACACGACACAAAAACTCAGAACACCAGAACACTAACTGGAGGAATTTGCCTACAGAATATGAGGCTGGTTCCCACTTGATACAGCTAGTATAGTAGTTTGATAGAATAAATTATATTTTTCTGCAACTGACACAAAAGTCGTCCATTTTGATACCAAAATCAGCTCTTAAATTGACGTTTCTACTACTGACACAAAAATAGGAATGTTGCTAGGCAACATATTTAGTTCCTAGGAGCTAAAGTTGAATTTTAGTTCCTAGGAGCTAAAGTTGAACTTTAGCTCCTAGGAACTTAAAAGGATCTACTGGACGTCATCAAGAATAAACAACATTGTGACGGTTGGTTATTTGGGTTGAGAGGCATGCCTGATTTGTTTCCGATTTCAGCAGATTTGGCATTTCATACCCATGCTGGAGATATAAATACACCTTATTATAATTTAGTATTAGAATTATAAACATCTCAGTTAAGTATTTTTGTTTTGATCAGGGAAGCCTTCAAGATTCAAATACTTGCTTGATCTGTATTTTATTCGTTATTCTCGGGATGGATAACTTGTTTTTGGATAATCACGGCAAGCAATAGTTTTTTGCCTCAAACAACGATATTGTTAACCTTCATTTGATTATCAAGCGACAAACATTGTATGTTACGGAGGTTGATGTGCTCACTAACCTAACATTTTCCAAGTCTTGTTTCTATAGCTGGCACTGACGCGGTATTTGCCATTAGAGCACCTGGTCCATACACAAATATGTCACTCTGTGATTGTATTTATATTGAAACTACAATTCGAACATCCTTGAAAATTGAATGAACCTGCTGTTGATGTAGGTAGAATGTTCTCACCACACGGATTATTTTTCAATATTTGTTGCATTGCATACATATGGCACGGTATTGGTGGTAACTTCACATATTTATTTGAGTTATTTGTTTCGGTTGCAGAAAAAATAGCAAGTTTCATTCGGATCAAAAGTGACTTTGTTCGACTCGCAAATTTTGCTTTCGCTCGGCTTCGCTAAACGCTCCGCCTCGCAAATGCAAAATTCGCTTGTCAAATAAAGTGTCACTTTTGATCCTAATAAAACAATCTACTATTTTTATATTTCAGAGTGACATAAATAGATTTTTTTATTGACTTTTCTTAATTGTATAACAAAATTCTATTACAGGTTATGACAACATCACCAATTGTCTTTATAAAGGGTGAACAATATTATATATGAAATTATACACTAGATGGAACAGACAGAAATAAGTTAACTCATCTCTGGTACAGATTAGCACTCGGATTAGCAGCAAGTACCCAAGTGCGAAAATTCCCATATTATGAGTTTATTTGGTTTTTCTCCCCTATTTTTCAATATTTTTTCTATAGTCTCCCACAGGTTGGCATCACTGGGCGGAGTTACTGGTTCGATACTATCTCTGCGCCCCACTCGTGGAGCAAGTTGAAAAATTAATTAGCTACCTATATCTCCGTAGCCGTTCGAGAAAACTCCATCCGAGACTCCACCAAACCTGGTATTGTTGGATTTGTAATCATAATCACTAACCGATAATGAAATACAATACAGGGTGATCCGTTAGAAAATCGAAAGTTTATGCCCGTTCTGCTTCAAGGTTTCGACTTTGAAATATTATGATATGATTACAGAAAAATGTGTCCCGAGCCAAATTGAAGTCGACGTGTCCGAGCAGTTTTTTATTGATCGGATCACAACGAAGATAACTGGGGTGAAATATTTTCGATGGACCACCCGGTATACTCAGTCAGCTTGGCTAAGTTTTTACAGAGAACAGCTTTCTGTCAGTATAGCTCATATATTATGGCAATGACGATGGCCTGTGATTTATTTTCAGCATGACGACATTCCATATTTGACATCTGGTGCAAGTTCTACAGATGCATGTGTTGAAATACTCTTGGGAAATATATGTAATCAATTCTTACAGAAACCAGTGTTTTTTCGAGAAATGGATTGGCAATATGGGCAAAAATGGAAGTTGTCACGGTATTCGATCAGTGCATTGCCATTTCTTGAGCTTCAGCACTTCGTTTTGTTATCGTTTTAGTTCAAATTCAAGAGAACGAAGATGAAGTTGGAATTCAATTTGATAAATAATATTATAAACTGTAGACTATATCTGTGTTCAATGTTAAACTCATTTCATTTTATAAACATTGATAAAGTCGAATGAAATAGTGAACATTTATATTAATATTTTCAATACCATAGATTTTTACTGAAGATTGATCTGGAAATGTCACTTAATTATCAACCAAACCGTTGATTGATATATTGCTTAGCGGGCTTAGCGTAAGCGTAATATATCAATCAACGATCAAACTGAACCAAATAACGTTCCGATTCAGAGAAAGAGATAGACACAACACGAATAATAATTATTTTTTTCCTCCACTAGCTATAAGACATACCATTATTTACTCCTTTTCGAGGCGTAAAGTGTATTTTTACTACCAAGGTAGTT